AGGGTAACACTTTGGTGCTCCGTCCTACAGAATTTAGCTTAATCCCTAATCAAACACACCTGCCTGTAATTTTCCAGTATTCCTGAAGACTTTGGGCCTGTTCATATTCAAAATCATATGTAACATCATGATGTAGCCACTAGATGCTGATTAATCTAATTCTAGATCTAATTAATCACAAATTAATCACACATCAATTTTAGCTGAGAATATGACTCCCAAAAGCCATATTACAGCCATATCACCCTGCAGCCCAAGACTGGTTGCCCACTGAAGCTAAGCAGGGCTGAGCCTGGTCAGTACCTGCATGGGAGACCTCCTGGGAAAACTAGGTTGCTGCTGGAAGAGGTGTTAGTGAGGCCAGCAGGGGGTGCTCACCCTGTGGTCTGTGTGGGTCTTAACGCCCCAGTATAGTGACGGGGACATTATACTGTCAAAAAGCACCGTCCTTCGGATGAGACGTTAAAACCCCCCCACATGATTGTAAAGCGCTTTGGGTGTACAACGATACACAGTAAAGCGCTATATAAATGCATCATTCATTCAAAAGATCATTTAAAAACATTATTGTGTTAGATGAGTAAAACTTTAAATATACATTACAAAAAAATAAGCTTAAGAAAGAAATATTTTGATTGAACATAGCATAATAATGATAATAGATGGGCATTCATGTTTTTTTTATGAATATTGAAATATTAAACTTTTTAAATGAAATATGAAATTACCAAAATATGAAATTAAAACCAGCAGGTGCAAAATCCCCATAGTTAAATCAACTCCCGAGTACATATTGTCCCAATCTACAGAGTGTTAATGTAACTATGTGGGTGGCTAGTCAACTCCTCCAAATCCAACTCCTTCAAACGGATGATTAATTCGGAAACAAAGCAAGTGACAAAGCAAGTCTTCATGAATTGCTCACTGAATCATTGACAAACTCAATTCATTCAAAAACGTAACAGAATAATTCAGGAATGAAACACAGCTATTTTGCCTAGAGACACACAACAGTTCTGCTGTGGCTTTGTTTGAACTATTTTTATTATCTAAATTGAACAAAACAGACGTTACAATATCGTGTCTAAAATTTCACATAATATTACCTTAGTGTTTATGGAGATATTGTATAAAATCAATATCAAATTTGCAAATCATGCAGATATTTGGCAAAAACAGCATTCTTGCTCGTGTGATATTGCTAACCTATATCATATATAAACCCATAAGTGTGATTTTTTTCCATAATTAATCACACCATTTAAAACATTAAATAGACAGTAAATAGACACAAAAACTTTTATTAGGTGTTGCATCTGAATAACTGTGAAAAAATGATTATCAAAATGAATAAATGATTATCAAAATGTGACCCGAGCAGGAAAAATGAGTCATAATTAATGATAATCTCATTAATGATAATCTAACAATAAAAGAAAAGATCGCTGCTCTTGAAGTGATTTTTACATTTGATTATTTGTTTTTCTTGTTTGAATGCTTTTGTTTAGATGTAAAATGAAAATAAAAGTAATGCACTATTTGTTTCTTTCTTATATTTGTTCTACTGTTGTTGTTGTTATTATAATTTTTTTTGCATCTGTTCTTATTTTTAATAGCAAAGATAAAATAAAAAATGGCTATATTGTGATTATTAATATACTAATTAATATTAACCCTTAAAGACCTAGAACATTTTTGGGGCACCTGACACTCCTGCAATTTTCTTTGTTTTTTTAGACCTATTCTAGCAGTCAGCATCAAGTGTCATATATCATTATAAACAGGAGAATTTGAAGTTTCAGTCTAGCTAATTTAAATGCCCAGTTTTCCTTTTGTATTCTCTAAAAATAAATGAATTTCCAGAATTTTAAGAAAAACGCAAGCAGCAATTGGGTGTTTTTTTTACTGTGTACTCAAACAGAAACTCCTGAAGTTTGGATTTTTTTTCTTTAGAAAGTTGTATCTGGTGTTTTACACTTCCAAATAAAATATTGTCTACATATAACATTCCCCAAGCAAGTTATTGCCATTTATTACAATATTGTTATAGGCGCTTTTCAGTGAAAAACAGGTCTATTTAGCAATATAGATGTGTCCAAAAAAAAAAAAACGTTTAGGGAGTAAAGAAAATGGAATCAGTGTTATATAATAACAAAACACAGTAAAAAAGTGACTTTTTTCAGATAAATCTAATGTGTTATTTTGTGTTTGTTTTCATGCACGCACGACAGACTTTAATTTCACTTTGCGTTTGTTCAACTTTCCAGTGAAAAATCCTAAATAGTGTTTATTGGTTGAATATGGGACCGTTTGAACCAATCTGGGCATGGGGGTGGGACTAAGCATCAACAATCGTTCCTGTTTGGCTCAGAGGAACGAAATGCATTGGTTTCTTCTGACAAATCAATGTTGTCAAAATGTGATGATGTAATCACGTCCACTACGGAGCCTCTGAATATCCAAATAAGACAAATTAGATATCTCAACAATTTTTGGGATTAGGATTACCGGTTCAAAAGTTATAAAACATTTAAGAACAATAGATATTTTTAGCCGCGGGCGGCTGTCTCGGTCTTTGAGGGTTAATGGAGAATGTGACAATAAAACTAATAATTAATAACTATTTTTTTGCTCATTGTGACTCATTTTGCCAGCATTGGTTACAAATGTTTATTTGAAGTGTTTTACATTGAAGTTAAATTACGTCTGGAGTCCCAGTCACTAACTCAAGTGGCTATCTCTGATATGTGGCCCCTGTATGTAGGTACTTATTATTTTTAAAGTTATAGGCAGTGAGTAAGCCCAAACCATTTTTAACATCTCAACTACAGTCTGTTAGGTAAGGTTTTGACAGCCGTTTTTGTCTTTAAAACTTTTTTTCTCCACCAGTCAGCAACTTTCATCTCTCACTGGATAATGACCAGTCCAGTGAGTGAAAACTACCGGTTCATAAATATTCCTTGTCATTTGGATGAGGACCACCTGGACTGGCCCCAGCTCTCAGTACAATAATGCAAGGCCTGTTCCTCAGATGAGAACTTCAGTGTGTGAAAAGGAAGGACTTTTTGTTTACTCTGAGATTTTTCCAGGCTGTATAAAGACCTCCATGGCTGCCACAAGTATCTGAGATGGCACCATGTAAACAGGCTTCACCAACTCTTTTGGATCCCAGAGCTTAAGCTATGTCCATAATCACTTATCCGATTTTAATTACAGCTGCCTAACGAGAGTCTCACTCTTTCTTTCTTGTTTACATCCTCCGTATTCTTGGACTGTGCAATGAGGTTCATCTACAATTTTTTTTTTCTTCCCTCAATGTCAATTTAAATCCTCTGTTCACCCTGCTTAAAAGACCAGATTTGACCAGCATGGTTTGGTGATGGTTTAGCTTCTGGGCCAGCATAGCTATCCTGTTCACCAGCAGTACTCTGGCTGACCAAAATGGTCTTTCTGGGGAAGCTAATTGATCAAATCTTGCTGGTTAATTAAAATGTCTAGTGGGAAAATCAGCACAGCAGCATCATAAAATGGAGACTGGAAACTGGAGAGCAGCCACTGGCCCATGTCCCATGTCAGGCCCACATTTATGTTGTACCTCTATTTCAGAACAGATAGTGTTAGAATGTGTCAGAAGAAATGTTAGAAATGTAACTTTTTCTAAGCAAAAACACATAAATATACACTCTTAAAAGAAGCTGGGTTAAAAACAACCCAACATGGGTTATTTGGCAACCCAGTGCTGGGCAAATGTTGGATAAAACACATGCTGGGTTATTTTGACCCAGCTGGTTGGGTTATATGTTTTTACCCACCATACTGGGTTGTTTAAATTATTGTTTAAAAATTATTATATTGCAGGCTTAAAATGGGCTGGAAATTTAAAATCACAAACAGAATAACTATAGGCAACAGCAATAATCAATAGATGAACATGTATTATTAAGCAAGAACACCCATGGACAATACTGTTTAACAATATTTATTTATAGTTTACAATATTACATACATTTAAACTCGTTTAACAAGCATTTTAGAAATAAAAAAGGCATATAGAAGTAGCATTTTAATTTAAGTATATTCAAACGTTCTCTGTAATCGCTTTTTACCGAAATAGTGCTAATTCTCATCCCGGTGTGTTGCCGAAATCTGAGCCGGTGAAGGGCTGCTGTTCGCGGGGGAACTGCAAACTTTAGAACGTGGCCTCGTGTTTCACTCGTAGCTGAGAGATTCCGTGACTTACTCCAAAACCTGCCCAAAAACAAACAGTACGGAACTTAGAGAACATATTTTAACATCAAATAAAATTAAATGACTGACTGACGCAGCTGACTGACATCTCATCCTTATGTTGCGTTGCGTAAAATAATATAATTTACACCACATTAAAGACTTTATAAATTAAATAAAATGTATACAAACCTTTATTTCCCCGAAAGAGTGCACCAAATTGGCGGCAGCGCTGTGGTGCTGAGAGCCGAACTCTCCTGTGGACTTAAAAAGCCCGTGCTCTCAGCAGCTGCATTGTTGAAAAGTTTCACCGGATACAGGGTCAAGCCAGCGGTTAGGTAGAAAAAAATAACCCAGTGTTAAAATGACCCAGCACCTGGGTAAAAATATTAAAAATAACCCAATAAAATGACCCAACAAGCTGAACCCAGTATTTGGGTTAAAAAAAAAAAACTAGCATTTTTTAGATTGTATGCTTCACATCTGCTGACTTGTGATATCCAGGGAGCAGCTCCCTTTGGTGATGTGCTGCCATTCATCTGGCATGTGCCTCTTTTTTGGGGATTACAATCACTCCTTGGGGGTTAGGGCATGATTGCTGCTTTTCAGAGTTCTGTTTTGCAAGTTGCACCTCTTCTCTTCTCTTCTCTTCTCTTCTCTTCTCTTCTCTTCTCTTCTCTTCTCTTCTCTTCTCTTCTCTTCTCTTCTCTTCTCTTCACTTCTCTCCTCTTCTGATTCCCTTTCATTTTCTCATTTCTCTTTCATCTTTGCAGAGCTAGTATTGTTCAGAGGAAGATCATCTCATTCCAGGATGAAGGCTCACTCACGAAGCGGATGTGTGAGAAAGGTGAGTCTTTCATTACTCCCAGCTAGTTGGTTTGGCACATTACAAGCAGCATTTTTATGAGATGTTATTTCAGTGTATGGTGCTTTTTTTCTCTTTTCTCTTTTTCTCTCCCCCAATTTGGCTCCTCATATACCTGTTCTTATTTGAGTGCTCGTTGTTTCTCAGGCTTGATTGTTAGAGCAATCCATTTTGGAAAGAAAGAAATAAAGAAAGAAAGAAAGAAATGTTTATACCAGCATTAGTTTCCATAGGTTCTAGGTTGATTACCTTCTAACCCATAGGTGTCCACTCCTGCTCCTGTAGGGCCACTTTTCTGTCTCAAAACCTTACATGCATTGTATGATATATACTTGTGTAAGTGGTTTTACTGAGCCTGTACTAGTGCAGTATGGATGGATGGATGGATGGATGGATGGATAGATAGATAGATAGATACAACAATTTTGATTATAAATATTTGTAATAATCCAGCCACCCTCCCTTGTCTTTAGAGCCACTTTATGGAGAAACCACAGACAAACCCCTGCTGGACTGCTGTGCCTGTGGAACTGCCAAATACAGAGTCACCTTCTATGGGAACTGGTCAGAGAAATTGCACCCAAAAGACTAACCAAGTAAGACACTATGTCCTCAATGACAAGTGAAGTGTGTACGTTTTTCAATGTTAAAATAGTTTCTCCTATCCCAGTTTACTGTGCAGAGACAGTGAGAATTAAACCATTTAAACTTTGGAGCAAAACATGAATGATACCACAAATCATTGGGGTTGCTGTACATACTAACTTTACCCTTGGTTAGAATATTGTGTACAGACATTTTTTTTCCATAGGTTCTAGGTTGATTACCTTTTAACCCATAGGTGTCCACTCCTGCTCCTGTAGGGCCACTTTTCTGTCTCAAAACCTTACATGCATTGTATGATATATACTTGTGTAAGTGGTTTTACTGAGCCTGTACTAGTGCAGTATGGATGGATGGATGGATGGATGGATGGATGGATGGATAGATAGATAGATAGATACAACAATTTTGATTATAAATATTTGTAATAATCCAGCCACCCTCCCTTGTCTTTAGAGCCACTTTATGGAGAAACCACAGACAAACCCCTGCTGGACTGCTGTGCCTGTGGAACTGCCAAATACAGAGTCACCTTCTATGGGAACTGGTCAGAGAAATTGCACCCAAAAGACTACCCAAGTAAGACACTATGTCCTCAATGACAAGTGAAGTGTGTACTTTTTTCAATGTTAAAATAGTTTCTCCTATCCCAGTTTACTGTGCAGAGACAGTGAGAATTAAACCATTTAAACTTTGGAGCAAAACATGAATGATACCACAAATCATTGGGGTTGCTGTACATACTAACTTTACCCTTGGTTAGAATATTGTGTACAGACATTTTTTTTTCAATAATAAGTTTGTAGTTATTGCGGCTTGGATAGATTCTATGCTTCACATAAAGACATATAAAATAGATCAACCTGTTAGAGCCACCTTTTTCAACTATTACTCTGAACTTGACATGTCCGGTGCACAAAACCTGTGATTTGTCTTAGCCACAGTACAGTATGGTGCTTCTACTCTCTAAAGCTTTGGTTAAATTCTAATGCAATATGGGATATGAATGTTTTCAAGCTGTGTACTCACATGCTGATCAGTAAGCGACTACCCAGAACACCCTAGTAACTGCATAACAATGTGCTAAAAAAAATCCTAACAACTGTATAGCAATGGCTGGCCCCTGAAAGCACCCTAGCATTATGACAGCTTTAATTTGTGCAGTAGAGAGCAGCACTAGTCGTTTAAAAAATATTTAGGCTCGATCTACTTATATATCTATAGAAATGTTGTACATTTTGCAACAGACATTACTTTAGATGTGAAATATCTAATATCTGTGCAATCATTTCATCATTATTTTCTCTTAGCACCTGTCCTCTCTTCTTGTCTTTTGTGGTTGGTGTGGATAACCTTGAGAGTGTCTCATTGGGAGTAAATTAAGCCTGGGGATTAGAGTCACTCTCCACTTGAGCTTCTGCAGCTCAGATCAATACTCTGATTAGAATGTACTCTGGGAGCTAGATGAACCTGATAAAGAAAGTGTGGTGCCTTAATTTATGGGCTTAGGAAACAGTGAAAGACATTCGAGTAAACAGACACACACACATGGGATTTATGATTATCACGTGTGCAAAAAACATTCCCATGTGCTAGTATAATTACATGGATCCTTAAGCATTTGTGTAAAACAAAACACACAAACATGCTGCTTTGGACATCTGGAATATATGCAGTCATTATCATTTCATGTTGATGTATTTGCATAAATTACTCTATAAACAGAGCAACTTTAATTAATCACAGCCAAAAGCACATATTATAATTTATCCCCATGTTACTTTCATTTAATCATTGAAGCACATCAATCAGTCATATTTTCTACTTTGTTGCTCAAATGAGGAAGAAAAAAAAAACATGCCTGTAATGCTAATGGTGGAATTTGTGCGCGAAGGTTCAATACTTAGAGTAAGGGGTTTTGATACACGTTTTCTTGGAAAGCAGTGCTAATGATTGTGAATGACCCTTGCTTGGATAGCAGCGCTAATTAATTGTTGTGAATCAGGTAATAGTGGTAATATCGCAATGTTGTCTTTGTAAATAAATAACTTTTTATAAGCATAATTTGCATATAAATAAGGCATGTTTGCACTGAAAAGAATGGCAGTGAGGGATTAGAATGCAAGGGGTTAGTGAAGAAGACACAGGTATTCCTGTAAATGTCACCAACCAGATCTCATGAAAAACCGTAACCATTTTAAGTTTTGGCAAAAGGTGGCAAAATTGGATGAATTGGTTACACATTAGTTTGGGTACCAATTATCACTATTAACTAACTATTAACTACGACTTTGGCCTCAATAAACTTCTAATTTGCTCATGAACATGGTAGTTGTTAAGTTAAGCATGGGATATGGGGTATGAATGAAATCTTACTAATTCATATGAATTTTGCCAAAAACAAAACAACTGTCAATTGAGAGTGTGTGAATGTCACTGTTTACACTTATCAACTTCATAAAGCTTCATTTCAGAACAACATCTTGTCAACCCAGTCAATCAAGGACATTTTCCCCCCAGGGAAATACATAAACATATTTTTTAAGCAGACAGAGAGTAGAAATAGAGAGATACTGTGTTTGGCAGGACATATGAAAATAAGCACTGGAACATCAGAGCGCATCAGTGAGATTTGATACAAGTCTGACGGATTGAGCGGATTAGCGGCACAGGGAGGATGTGGTAAGCAGTTCTTCACAGAGCCAGTGTGAACACTGTCATGCCTGTGGAATATCTTAAATTGGTGAGTAGAAATTAGATTGAGGGCTTTAAAGGCCCAGACTGGGAGATCTGGAACTTAATACCTCAGGGTAGAGATTTTCCTACAAGGTGACTTTATTGTTAGAGCAGGACATTATAAAGCTGAAAGAGAAGTGAAGTAATTTCATAACTTTTTTTATAGATAGGATGTCATTTGTGAAACTCTTTTCAGTGTTCCGAGAAGAACTGTCTGTCATTTCTCCTGCATAATGTAGCTCCATAATCTAATACAATATTCCTATGAAGTGCAAAATTTGTTTGTGGTAAGGTTGAACTTGCCATTTAAGGGCTGGGCTAAGGGGACAAATCGAGGACACGCACTTAAAAAAGCCCTGGATAGAGCTATTTCAGTGTTTTTTGACCGGCCCCTGCGGGAGAACCCCATTTTGTGGGAGGTGGAAACCATTTGTGTGACATTTGTGGAAGGCATCATGGAATAATACACAGGACACAAAGATCCACTAAAGCTTCACACTGCTCCTTCACAATGGAGGGACAATTTCTGACTGTCAGAAAAGCAGGGTTATTCTTTTCATGATTGTAGTGTTATGAAAATGCAATATTTTTACTTGTATGATTACCGTAGCACAGCATTTTAAAAAAAATAAAATAAAAAAAATCCTCGATAGCACTTTTGTGCAGGCAACTCAAGTTTTATTCCAGCTTGCATTTTTTTTCCATGTTCCATACAACCTCTTCTCCCTATTATTTTCAGTCAGTATCTGTTTTGTTTGATTCATGACATTTATTCTAATTGTTTATGCAATAATTTGTGGGTAATTGAATTAATCTGCATATATATATATATATATATATATATATATATATATAAATACAAATATTTAAGTATTCTGAGAGTGTAGGCAGACCAACTCAATCACATCATTTGCAATGCTTCATGGGAGGGGGCGGCCCTAAACAGTGTTTTGTTGCGATTAACTGTTCCATACAACCTCTTCTCCCTATTATTTTCAGTCAGTATCTGTTTTGTTTGATTCATGACATTTATTCTAATTGTTTATGCAATAATTTGTGGGTAATTGAATTAATCTGTATATATATATATATATATATATATATATATATATATAACTACAAATAGTTATTGCTACAAATAGCAGTGTACTTTTCTCAATTTTATGTGAAATTCATATAGGATAGTTTAATAAGGAACACATTTCCCATTGATTTCTCTCTCTCTCTCTCTCTCCCTCCCTCC